CGTCCCTTATTACGGAACCCAGTCACACACTAGGTGTGACCTCCAGACCAGGCTGACACCCCACCCCCACCCCCACCCCGCAAGGACACGCAGGCAGCAGTCACCCGGCCCCACCCCCACCAGGAAGCTTGGGGCCTAGCCCTGCCCCCGCCTCGGCCCATCACACGCAGGTGTCCTCAGCCAATCCCTCCCTGTTGCCAGGCCCCTTTCTCCGTCCCCATTGGTGCCAGCTTTGAAGCGATCGTCCCTGGTAGTCTGCAAAGGCTGGATCTGGGCGTGGAACGAACTGCCAAAGGAATCCAGTGAGTCACAGGACTTCCAGCACATTCTAGCACTTGCCATTCTAGGTCAGGAGGTTTGGGATTTCTGGGCTGTGACTTGATACCCAAGTCCTGAGGCCAAGTGGGACATGAAGACACTGGAGTCCCTTTCGGAAAATAGACCAGCAACTGTGATAATCTGCCCCCAAGTTCTCTGTAGGGGACATCTGGAGGACACAGGATTCCATGTGGGTGGCAGTGCCTGTCACTGTGACTTGTCTATGAGTGTCTCTGGCCTCTGTGACTAGTATCGTCCCCTCCTTTACCCTCAGGGTTGTGACAGCTTTGCTGGATGGCTCACTCCAAGCTGGGAAGCTGCTGTGCTGGCAATAGGAGCCAGCTCTTAAAGGGAGGCCATTTCCTCCCATCCTGCTTGTCCTGTGTCCTGAAGAAGCAGGTCACCTCTGTTTGTTGCAAGAACACACTGCTGATGGGTTATTAAAAACAAAACAACAATTTGGATGTGACGTTAGGAGGGGGATTCGGGAAGGGTACCCAGGAAGGAGTTACAGGGAGGAAATGGGAGATATGATAAAAATACATTGTATGTATGTATGAAATTCTCAAAAGATTATTTTAAAATATGTAATTTAAAATGGGAGGCTATGGCCTACAAAGCGAGTTCCAGGACAGGTTCCAAAGCTACACAGAGAAACCCTGTCTTGAGGAAAAAAAAAAAAAAAAAAAAGGTGAAATATAAATGTGAAGTTAACAAGAAGTTGTAGGTTTTCACCACTGTACAAAAACTCCTTTGTTACAAATAAATACTTATGCTTCTTTAAAAAAAAAAAAAAAAAGCACTCGGGAGGCAGAGCCAGGCGGATCTCTGTGAGTTCGAGGCCAGCCTGGACTACCAAGTGAGTTCCAGGAAAGGCGCAAAGCTACACAGAGAAACCCTGTCTCGAAAAACCAAAAAAAAAAATAAATAAATAAAAAAAAAAAAAAAAAGGAGCCGGGCGGTGGTGGCGCACGCCTTTAATCCCAGCACTCGGGAGGCAGAGGCAGGCGGATCTCTGTGAGTAGAGGCCAGCCTGGGCTACAGAGCTAGATCCAGGATAGCCAGGGCTACACAGAGAAACCCTGTCTCGAAGAAAAAAAAAATCACACCCAAACAAAAAAAAGATAGGAGGCTGGATTTGTGGGTAAAGGTACTTGCAAGCATGCCTGACAATATGAATTCACTCTCTGGGAGCCACGAGGTAGAAGGAGATAACCAACCTGACTCCTTTGAGCTGTCCTCTGACCTACACACACACACACAAATAAATAATGTGATTTTAAAAGTCCATGTGTCGCCGGGCGGTGATGGCGCACCCCTTTAATCCCAGCACTCAGCAGAGGCAGGGGGATCTCTGTAAGGTCGAGGCCAGCCTGGTCCACGGAGTGAGTTCCAGGACAGCCAGGACTACACAGAGAAACCCTGCCTCGAAAAACAAAACAAAACAAAACAATAAATAAATAAAATCCATGTGTCGACTTTCAGAGAATTTTTCCTTTTGACAAAAATTAGCATATAAAATTATGTATAAAAAGGGTTTCACTATATCAATGCATTTTGATTCTTTTTTTTTTTTTTTTTTTTGAGCCAGAGTGTCTCTGTATAAGAGTCCCAGCTGTCCTGGAACTCTATAGACACTCTGAGATCTGCCTGCCTCTGCCTCCCAAGTGCTAGGATTAAAGGCAAGCGCCACGACGACTGCCCAGCATTTTGATCTTGATCTTGTTTGTTGGAAATAAGATAGTTTATTTATTTATTTATTTCTCTTTTTTTTTTTTTTTGAGACAAGGTTTCTCTGTGTCATTTTGGTGCCTATCCTGGATCTCGCTCTGTAGACCTGGCTAGCCTCGAAATCACAAAAGATCCGCCTGCCCCTGCCTCTCGAGTGCTGTGATTAAAGGTGTGGGCCACCACTGCCCGGCAGATAATCGATTTCTTACACATTTGCCCCCATTATTCTCTTCCTTCCCCCAGACCCTCTGAACAGACCTTCCTTTTCAAGCTAACCCTTGGCCAGGTCCAGCCCTCAAGCCTTCCTCCTCCTCTCCCTCCCCCACCTCTGAAATCAAGGCTGTTGGGCTCTGAACCTTCTAGACTTTGGAAGATGCTGAGGCCACAAAGCCGATGACTCAGCCAAGAAACAGGAATCACGAGGCCAAAGCAAAGCGACAGCCAAATATAGCATGGTGTGGCTGGAGGCCAGTATCACGGTAGAATCGGCCTCCGTGTTTTGTCCCCTTCCCAACTTCTGTCTGAAATCTAGTAAGAATGGACCTGCACAGAAATCTGTCTCAGAAACCACTGGGGGTGTTCCAAACCCAGAGAATGACATTTTCATGTCTCAGTAGCATATGACTTCATTCATGGAAAAATCACAAAAAATTAAAATCTGTTTTTGAACAATACCTCTGATCTTGAATTCTTATGGATTTCTAAAACGGGGACTCAGACCTGCCTGAAATCTCAGGACCTAGGTGGTAGAGGCAGGAGGATTCCTGCAAGTTAGAGCCCAGCTTGGTCTACAGCGTGAGTCCCAGGGCAGCCAGGGCTCTGTGTGAAGACCCTGTCTCAACAAAAACCAACCAACCAAACAAACAAACAAAAAAACCTCAAAAATTGCTGGGATTAAAGGCATGCACCATCATGCCCAGCAAATGTTTATTTTTTAATAATGTATGTGTGTGTGTGTGTGTGTGTGTGTGTGTGTGTGTGTGTGTGTATGTGTGTGTCTGAGTATATGCCACACATGGGTCAGTGTCTCCAGGGACATTTGACCCCCTGAAGTTGGAGTCACAGGCCATTATGAACTGCCTAACATGGGTACTGGGAATTGAACTGAGGGCCTCTGAAAGTTATACCTGCTCTTATTGCTGAGGCGTCTCTCTGGAGACCCCAGGGATTCTTTTTTTTTTTCCCCCTTTGGTTTTTTTTTGAGACACGGTTTCTCTCTATAACTCTGGCTGTCCTGGAATTCATTCTGTATGTAGACCAGGCTGGCCTGGAACTCGGAGATCCTCCTGCTTCTGCCTCAGGAATGCTGAGATTGAAGGCCTGTGCCACCACATCCCGCTAACATGTGCAATTATTACCTTTACATCTTATTTAATTAATTAAGGGGCTAGGGAATCGATGGAGCTTACTGGAAAATGACCGGAGATTTCAATTAAAAATCTGGGGCTTAGGCTTCGTGTGGTGACACACACCTTGATCCCAGCACTTGAGAGGCAGAGAGGCAGGAGGATTTCAGTAAATCTGAGGCCAGTCTAGGCTACATGCCTTGTTCCAGGGCAGCCAGAGCAACTTAATGAGATCCTGTCTCAACAAACAACAACAAAAAAATAAAATAAAATTAAATAAATCTAGGGCCTCAATGGGTTCCATCTCTTAGGTAGCTAAATATGAACAAAATTTTGAAAACTTGATGTTTCCTTAGTGACAATCACATAGAACCTTCTTGAATCCAAGGGCACCAAATGTAAACAGGCTGAAAGAACAGCCTGGAAAGATCTAGTTCTGTTGGGTTTCAGGTCTACTGCCGACAGTTTTCAAGAGCTGTGTGGATTTTCTGCCTCTAACGAATTCAGATTCATTTTGCAAAATTAGGGAGAGACCGGGTCCCTTTATAATTTTTTTAAAAAAATTTATTTTAAAAGCCTTTTTTATTTGTTCCCCTTGTTACGAGATTTGCAGAGTCATTCACCTTGTCACGGTGCCAGGGAGGTGAGGGCTGGGTCAGGGACCGGCCGGGACTGTGGGGGCTGAGGAGGCGAGGCCGCCAAAGGGACCCCAGCGTGACACGAGCCAAAGCCCTGGGTCCCCAGAACGCACAGAGGGCCAGGGACCCCCAAGACAGGGTTAGCGGGTGGGTGTCTCGGGCGCGGAGCCGCACTGCGCCTGCGCCGAGCTCCGCTCCTGCCGCGCTGATCCGAGCCGGGTTCTCGCGCCGACCACGCCGTTGGCTCGATGACGCGTCGCACACGCTGATCCCTCCGCGGGTCCGCCCAAGGTCGCAAGCCCTTCCCGGAAACCCAAAGCCCCTGCACTCTCTGGGCTCCACACACGAAGAGACCCTGAGGTGACCTTGCTGGCCCTGGTCCGTGGCTTCCGCTGCAGAGACAGGAAGAGCCTTGGGAAGTAGTCCCCTCGGCCGCATTTCCGCGGAGGGATCTCGGGGGAGGGCGGGGCTTCCGAGGGTTATATAAGGCGACGCCCGGCGGGGCCGCAGCTAGTTCCGTCGAGACCTAGAGTTCCGTCGCTGCTTCTCTCCGTGTGGACTGCTGCCGCCGCCGCCGCCACCACCGCTGGTGAGGAGCCACCCCGCCGCACCGGGCCGGGGTTTGGGGGTGGTGGTGATTGGCTGGGAAGGGGGCGAGGGACAAACCCGCGGGCCTGGACGTTCCGTTTCCGTGGCCCGCGAGGGAGGGGCGAGGCGGAGGACCGGGGCGGCAGGCAAGATGGCGGCCAAGGGGAAGCCTAAAGGGGAAGACGCGCGGCCCTGATGCTGGACGACGTTGTGGGAAGCAGGGGCCGCGGCCGCCGGTTCACCCGGGAACTTGCCGGCACTAACCCTTTACTATTGATTTCTCTTGGGCGGGTTGCGGGCCACAGGTGCCTATGATGGGAGAGCTGTGCGGGGTGGGGGGAGATCGGTCGGTTTTTTTTTTTTTTTTTCACCCGTTGCTAAAGACGGAAGTGCGATGGCGACGTGGGGGGGGGGCGGCGGTAGGTGGCGGTTCACCCCGGCCTCCGGCACCCGTGACGTCGCGGTTTCTATGGGCTCACAATGCGAGGTGAGGCCGTTTCCCTGAACTGTAGCTTTCCCTCCGTTGTAGGACAGGGTTTGGGACTCGGCCTCGGGTAGCCAGCCTCTCCCGAGTGGACAGGAACCGGAAATCCAGAGAGGGGGGGGAAAAAAGTGAGCCCTCGATTGAGTTTCTCGTTTCTTGTCCTGTTTGGTTTTGAGAGAATCTCGCTGCCTAGCCATGGCGGGCCTGGAACGTTAAGCCAGGGTGTCCTTAAACTGTCAGAACCCGGGCCTCTACCACCCACGGGAAGGGATTCATGGCCTGTGCTATCACCCCAGACTTTATAATAGTCTCGGGTTTCTGCAGTTTCAATCCTGGTATTCAGGTTTGAGCTATTGGGGTTACTCCCTTGTGGGTCTCTTTTTTTTCTTAACTGTTTTTGTCCATGGCGTGTATTCTGACCCAAGTTTGTTCTTTTGGGGGGCAGGAGGGTTGAGATATAAGTTCTCTGGGCTGTCCTCCCAACTCAAGAGATGTCCTTGTCCAAGTCTCCTTACTGAGGAGAATAAAGGTGTTCACAGGCTCAGACCTCAGGTTTTTAGGCAGTCTGTATTTGTTGCTGGCTATGTAGACCATACTGGATCTGATTTCATGCCTATTTGGGGTGGATCCTCCCATTGGCCACAGGTGTGAATGTGGTTCAGGCTTTCCTCCAAACTATGCAAATAGCCAGGAAATGACTTCCAGCCATTGGTACTGAAGTCTCCATCCTGCCAAGTTGGTGATACAGACAGGGCTCACCATGTCTGTGTCTTTGTTGATTTATTTTTCAAGACAGGGTTCCTTTGTGTAGCCCTACATATTCTGGAAGACCACGCTGACCTTGAACTCACAGAAATTGGCCAGCCTCTGCCTCCCAGTGCTGGGATTACAGGAGTGCACCAACACGTCTATTACTCCTTAATAGGTTTCCTGGCTTATTTGAAGTATTGTTTTAGGTTTTTTGTGGTTTTGTTTTTTGTTTAATTAAGAAAAAAATTTTTGAAATGGTCTATGTAGCTAGAATGTAGCTATGTGGACTAAGCTGGCATCAATTTCAATGGGATGCAACTGTTAGTGCCGTACCACTAACAAATGTGTCATTCCAAATGTGTCATTCCTGACTTTTTGTTTTTCCCTGTGTGTGTGTGACAGACAATGCAGATCTTCGTGAAAACCTTAACTGGTAAGACCATCACCCTAGAGGTCGAGCCCAGTGACACCATCGAGAATGTCAAGGCAAAGATCCAGGACAAAGAAGGCATCCCCCCTGACCAGCAGAGGCTGATCTTTGCAGGCAAGCAGCTGGAAGATGGCCGCACCCTGTCTGACTACAACATCCAGAAAGAGTCCACCCTGCACCTGGTCCTTCGACTCAGGGGTGGTATGCAGATCTTTGTGAAGACCCTGACAGGCAAGACCATCACCCTGGAGGTCGAGCCCAGTGACACCATCGAGAATGTCAAGGCAAAGATCCAGGACAAAGAGGGCATCCCCCCTGACCAGCAGAGGCTGATCTTTGCAGGCAAGCAGCTGGAAGATGGCCGCACCCTGTCTGACTACAACATCCAGAAAGAATCCACCCTGCACCTGGTCCTGCGACTCAGGGGTGGTATGCAGATCTTTGTGAAGACCCTGACAGGCAAGACCATCACTCTGGAGGTCGAGCCCAGTGACACCATCGAGAATGTCAAGGCAAAGATCCAGGACAAAGAAGGCATCCCCCCTGACCAGCAGAGGCTGATCTTTGCAGGCAAGCAGCTGGAAGATGGCCGCACCCTGTCTGACTACAACATCCAGAAAGAATCCACCCTGCACCTGGTCCTGCGACTCAGGGGTGGTATGCAGATCTTTGTGAAGACCCTGACAGGCAAGACCATCACTCTGGAGGTCGAGCCCAGTGACACCATCGAGAATGTCAAGGCAAAGATCCAGGACAAAGAGGGCATCCCCCCTGACCAGCAGAGGCTGATCTTTGCAGGCAAGCAGCTGGAAGATGGCCGCACCCTGTCTGACTACAACATCCAGAAAGAGTCCACCCTGCACCTGGTCCTCCGTCTCAGGGGTGGTATGCAGATCTTTGTGAAGACCCTGACAGGCAAGACCATCACCCTGGAGGTCGAGCCCAGTGACACCATTGAGAATGTCAAGGCAAAGATCCAAGACAAAGAGGGCATCCCCCCTGACCAGCAGAGGTTGATCTTTGCAGGCAAGCAGCTGGAAGATGGCCGCACCCTGTCTGACTACAACATCCAGAAAGAATCCACCCTGCACCTGGTCCTCCGTCTCAGGGGTGGTATGCAGATCTTTGTGAAGACCCTGACAGGCAAGACCATCACCCTGGAGGTCGAGCCCAGTGACACCATCGAGAATGTCAAGGCAAAGATCCAGGACAAAGAGGGCATCCCCCCTGACCAGCAGAGGCTGATCTTTGCAGGCAAGCAGCTGGAAGATGGCCGCACCCTGTCTGACTACAACATCCAGAAAGAATCCACCCTGCACCTGGTCCTGCGACTCAGGGGTGGTATGCAGATCTTTGTGAAGACCCTGACAGGCAAGACCATCACTCTGGAGGTCGAGCCCAGTGACACCATCGAGAATGTCAAGGCAAAGATCCAGGACAAAGAAGGCATCCCCCCTGACCAGCAGAGGCTGATCTTTGCAGGCAAGCAGCTGGAAGATGGCCGCACCCTGTCTGACTACAACATCCAGAAAGAATCCACCCTGCACCTGGTCCTGCGACTCAGGGGTGGTATGCAGATCTTTGTGAAGACCCTGACAGGCAAGACCATCACTCTGGAGGTCGAGCCCAGTGACACCATCGAGAATGTCAAGGCAAAGATCCAGGACAAAGAGGGCATCCCCCCTGACCAGCAGAGGCTGATCTTTGCAGGCAAGCAGCTGGAAGATGGCCGCACCCTGTCTGACTACAACATCCAGAAAGAGTCCACCCTGCACCTGGTCCTCCGTCTCAGGGGTGGTATGCAGATCTTTGTGAAGACCCTGACAGGCAAGACCATCACCCTGGAGGTCGAGCCCAGTGACACCATCGAGAATGTCAAGGCAAAGATCCAGGACAAAGAGGGCATCCCCCCTGACCAGCAGAGGCTGATCTTTGCAGGCAAGCAGCTGGAAGATGGCCGCACCCTGTCTGACTACAACATCCAGAAAGAGTCCACCCTGCACCTGGTCCTTCGACTCAGGGGTGGTATGCAGATCTTTGTGAAGACCCTGACAGGCAAGACCATCACCCTGGAGGTGGAGCCCAGTGCCACCAAGAAAGTCAGACAGGAAGATGGACGCACCTTTCTCACTACAGTGTCTAGAAAGAGCCCTCCTTGTGCTTGTTCTTGGGCTTGAGGGGAGGTGTCTTAGTTTCCCCCTGTCTCTTAAGCTGTTAACAGGTTCCATTGCACTTTGAATAAAATTCTTGCATTCCCAAAGTTCTGATCTTGTTTTGGCTTTGATTACTTGGTTCCTGATACTGGAATGTGTAGGCTATCAAGTTTATGTCATCAGTATATGTTAAAGATGTATTACAGTTGTGTGGGTATTATATGTGGTTTATGTGCTCAGTGTTAGAAAAGGGTATTTAATATGGAGTTCAGATGTTGATGAGCCACCATATGAGTGAGTGCTGGCAACTGAGCTTCGTCCTCTACAAGAGGAACAATTTGTGGGTTTTTTTGTGGGTTTTTTTTTTGTTTGTTTTTGTTTTGATTTTTCGAGACAGGGTTTCTCTGTAGTTTTGGTGCCTGTCCTGGAACTCACTTTGTAGACCAGGCTGGCCTCCAACTTAACAGAGAACCGCCTGCTTCTGCTTCACAAGTGCTGGGATTAAAGGTGTGCGCCACCACTGCCCGGTAGGCTGGGGGTCTTAAGAGGACCCACATTTGGTTCCTAACAGCACCCACACATAATGCCTCTAGGTTTACCATGGACCTCCACTGAAAGTGCATATACCTCACCTAAAGATAAAAATCAATTAAAACTGAAGCTGAAAACTTTTTCCCTAGGTCAAGCTCAGCATCTTGAGTAATTGTACCACACCTGTGGAGGTTAGAAATCCTCTGATGAAACTACTTGGTGTGTGCTGAACTGTCTCAATGGCCCACCCCCACAGTGTTTTGTTCTTTAAGGAAAAGCATTTCAAAGTGATGAGAGAAGATGAAGATGTCATTATGGTTTGTGGGTAAAATAATGAAAACGACATTTTCTTAAGTTGGTAAATAGAACTATACTGTATATTTTCCCTTGAGCTTTTCTGATTTGTAGAATTTGCTGTTCAGTATAAGTAGATGTCTGTATCATGACGACATTTTCAGATATATATATCTGTAATATTATATAATATAATAGGTATATATAATCATAAATTTTTTCCTGTTCTATGAGGAAGGTGCTGGTGTCCTCTGAAGACAACCATGGATTTTGGGGAAATGCTCACAGCTTGCTTTTTTCCCCCAGTTGTTTGTTACAGGTTGGAGCTGTTTGGTCAACATTATAATGACATGGGCAGCAGTATCATCTGATGACCCCTTTTTTTTTTGTATATTTTGCCCTAATCTCCAGCACCTTCACTTTCTCATTTTCTCTTGTTACACACCCCACCCCCCAACCCCCCAGTTTGAGACCAGGTTTCTTAGAAGCACAGGTTGGCCTCAAATTCCTGACACTACTGAGTACCAGAAATTACAGTAGACAGGATAGACACAGTGGGATATGTGACTTTTTTTTTTCCAATGTTGAGGAATAATGAAACAACCAAGCCTTAGCCATGTAAGCACACATTCTGCCGTGGAGTTAGAATTCACTCTTTTTTTTTCCATTTCTTTTTTTTTTTACTTTTTTTAAAATTTTTTATTTAATGCCAAATGCTGTTTATTGAAGGGTGGAAGAGGTCTTAAATACAGGCTTACAGCACAATGGGAGAACCCCAGAAGTTCGCTACTGATGTTTTACAATCTTGCATCTAAGCTGTTAACGCCCTTTATGCAGGATAGGCAGACAAGGAACTTCCCTTAAGCATTCAGGAGGGTGGAAACCAGCAAGGAATTAGCATAGAGAGGCTATCAAGGTCAAGGTCAGCAAGCAAGGCAACAGTTACCCAAAACGGGCCAGGGCCTATAGGTCCCCCTTTTACTAAAAAATGAGCCTCTGACTTAGATTTTGTGGGACGTCAGCAGGTCACCTACCCATCATGGAGACGCCTGCCTAGGCCACAGAGGCACTCTGCCTGAGATTTCTAACCACCATCGGAAGCACAATTGTATAGGACAGATCTCTGTGAGTTCGAAGCCAGCCTGGTCTACAAAGTGAGTTCCAGGAAAGGTGCAAAGGTACATAGAGAAACCCTGTCTTGAAAAACCAAAAAAAAAAAAAAAGTCTACACACAGGTTAGAGAGGGAGTGTGTCCTCTGGGGGGGGGGGGGGGGCGGTTTTCAGCTGATGCCTGGAGTTAGTGTAACATCTTAAGCAAACTCCTTTCTGGCTCGGTAAATTGGCCATTTAACCCACTTTTGGAGTCAGCCTGGAGATTTCCCCCATGCTTCCCTTGATGGCGCAACTTTAGGACCAATGAAAAAGCTACTCTCTGCAGTCTTGCCCTGTTTCTTCACTTTGTTAAGTCTTCATCAGTAGGAAACTGTGCTGAATTGGTAACGGGGAGAGGAAATGTTAAAGGGGCCACAGAGTGGCAGGATGGGATGGTGGAGGAGTCCCAGGGGGCATCGAGGGCAGAGATGACAGACAGCAGGCAGAGGTGGTTGGGGACAGGGAAGAAAGCAGAGCTAAGGCTAGAGAACCTCCCCAGCCACCCCAAGAGCTCCAGAGAATAGCAAGATTAAAGGGTGAAGGACCTCGGACCCCTCAGGCACTGAGCGTCCTGACAGCAGTCTTGATATCAGAGCCGGTCCTAACACCCAAGGCGGGATTAGAGGTGTGACACCATGACACTCACAGACACTGGCTCACATTGACTCAGAGCAGCCAAGAGTGGAGGTCAGGGGCAGGAGCAGGGTTCTGGGAGCCAGGAGACTAGGGGAAGGGACAGGTGCTGAACCTGCCCTGACTCAGAGACAGTAAGGTATTCTGGTGGGCTATTAGTCAGCAGGGTGCCTGTAGGTGACAGGGTGCCTGTGAACTGTTCTGTTCTTTGGTTGGTTGTTTTTTTGTTGTTGTTTTGGTGCCACCACCAAACAGGGTGCCACCACTGCCCGGCCTGTTCTGGTTTTTTTTTTTTTAAAGAAAAATTGAGGGCCAATGAGAAGCAATTGCAGCCAGGCCTAACAACATGAGTTCAATTCCCAGGACCCACATAGTAGAAAGAGAGAACTGACTTCCACACCTGTGCCATAGCATACACAGGCCTGCACACACACACACACACACACACACACACACACACACACACACACACACACACGAGTTCTAGAATTCAGTTAGATAATAGTGTCATGGCTGCACGTTGTGGGGCGGCAAGCTGACACCCAGAACTGTGTGTGAGGTTTGAGGCCTGGGGTTACAGTTTGTTTGGAGAACATTTGTTTAGCATGTGCAAGGCCCTGGGTTCCATCCCCAGCACCTCAAAGAAAAAAGTGAGGTTTGTACTCCACTCTCTAAGGATTCAGACAAATAAATGGATGGATAGGATAAGAACTAGGTAAATTGGCTGATAGATTGATAAGTAGATGATAGATAGATAGATAGATAGATAGATAGATAGATAGATAGATAGATAGATGGAAAGTAGGTAATAAGACAGACAGAATGGTTACTTGTCAGAACAAGGTCAAAAGAATGACCCATGGTGAAGCATGCCTTGGGGAACTGTGAGAGAGAGGCCAGGAAAAAAGGTAGAGGGCCTTTTACCTCAGGCATATTTTGTTCCCTGAATTGTTCTTGGACTCGATTTCATGCCTCGTGCACAAACATTTACATTCAATTTATAAGACATGTTTATTCTTGTTGGATGTCAGAACAGAGCTATAGAACCCCATCCAGCAAAAGGACATGCTGAGTGCTGTCCACAGTGCGCCCTGAATCTGGCTATGGCCTCTGCCTTGATTTCATGTTTTCCCAGATATAATCTATAGTACATGCCAGGCAATTGTGTTTAAAGTGGTCTATTCTGAGAAAGCTCTGGGGAAAGGCTGCTCTTGTTAATATTTTGTATGTGCTTACTGGTGTTTATTGACATGTTTTTCTGATCTCAACCTTCTTGGATCATCCCTTTCTTTGTTACATGCATATATGAAAACACACTGAAACTCAAGGTAGGTTGTCTATGTATTAGACTCTGGTCTGCCCCATTCTTTAAGGTCCTCAAATCCAGGGTCTCCTCGAAGACAGACCTGCATAGGTCAACAAAAATCTACAGTTCCTAGCATGGTATTAATTTCCATCTTATTGGATTTATAAACATGTAGAGGGGCTGGAGATGTGGCCTAGTGTGCACAAGCCCTGGATTTAACCCCAGCACCACATAAACTAGGCATGGTGGCACAAACCTGTCACCCCTGTGCTCCTGAGGTAGGGACAGGAAGATCAGGAGTTTTTTTTTTGTTTGTTTGTTTGTTTTTTTTTTTTGGTTTTTCCAGACAGGGTTTCTCTGTGTAGCTTTGCGCCTTTCCTGGAACTCACTTGGTAGTCCAGGCTGGCCTCGAACTCACAGAGATCCGCCTGGCTCTGCCTCCCGAGTGCTGGGATTAAAGGCGTGCGCCACCACCGTCTGTTCTTTTTTTTTTTTTTTTTTTTTAAAGATTTATTTATTTATTACATATACAGTGTTCTGTCTGCACGTATCCCTGCAGGCCAGAAGAGGGCACCAGATCTCATTACAGATGGTTGTGAGCCACCATGTGGTTGCTGGGAATTGAACTCAGGACCTTTGGAAGGGCAAGCAGTGTTCTTAACCTCTGAGCCATCTCTCCAGCCCTACCACCGTCTGTTCTTATCAGTTTAAGATCAGGAGTTTTAAGGTCATCCTCAGCTATGTAGAATGTTCAAGGTCAACCTGGGTTACATGAGACCCTTCCTTAAAAAAGAAAATGGGGCTGGAGAGATGGCTCAGTGGTTAAGAGCACTGGCTGCTCTTCCAGAGGTCCTGAGTTCAATTCCCAGCAACCACATGGTGTCTCACAACCACCTGTAATGGATCTGGTGCCCTCTTCTGGCTTACAAGGACACATGTAGACACAACACTGTATGTATAATAAATAAAAAATTTTAAATTAAAAAAAAAATGTAGCTATGGCATTAGTGAGGGGACCTTAGTGTATACTGTAAGGCTGCTTAAGGCTGCTTCCAGAGAAGATGAACTGGGGAAGAAAGACCTGCCCTGAATATGGATGTCACCATCTCATGAGCTGGAATCTTAGACTGAATAGAAAGAGAGAAAGGAGAGAGTTTAACATACCATCATCCCCCTCTGTCTGCTTCCCAA